TTGCAGAGGCCACATTTGGAGCCCTTTGTTACGGCTTAGGGTTTATTAATAGTAATGAGGCTATTGCTTAGTTGTTAAATAGTGTACTGAGTACTATCTATACTTGAGTCAAGTTCTTTATAAATTTAAAATGACTAAAGTACCTAAAACTAAAAAACACAAAAAACCATCGTCATCACCAAGTTCTCTAAACCTATCATTTACTAATATTCGTGGTCTTCGAAGTAACTTTTCTTCTGTTGAGTCTTATCTCTTGCAAAGTTCACCAGACCTACTTGCTCTTTGTGAGACTAATTTGAGTTCGGCTGTCCCATCTTGTGATCTTAGTGTTGATGGTTATCTTCCTTTGGTTCGTAAAGACTCCAATAATCACATGCTTGGCCTGGGCATCTACATTCGTAAGAACTCACCCATTTGTCGTGAAACTAGGTTTGAATCTACAGACTATTCATTTATGTGCTTTCGTTTAGCACAACTTCACTCTATCGCCTTTCTCTTTGTTCTATATCGCTCTCCTTCATCCCAAGATTGCACTATTCTTGATGTTATTTCTGATCAAATTGACCAAGCCCTCTCTCTTTATCCATCGGCCAATATCGTCGTTGTTGGTGACTTTAATGCCCATCACACCGATTGGCTTGGCTCTAGTGTCAGTGACTCTGCTGGCGTTAAGGCTCTCAACTTTTGCCTTTCTCAATCTCTAACTCAAATAGTCAACTTTCCAACTCGTTTTCCAGACAACCCTAATCATTTACCTTCTCTACTCGACTTATGTCTTGTTTTGGATCCTAGTCAGTGCTCAATTTCTCCACATTCACCCTTAGGTACTTCTGATCACGGTTTGATCTCTCTAAAACTATTATCAAATTCTTCTACTTCATCAGAATCCCCCTATCATCGTACCACATACAACTACCTTAAAGCTGACTGGGACTCTTTCCGTGATTTTCTTCGTGATGGCCCTTGGGTAGAAATCTTTCGTCTTCCTGCTGACAAATGTGCTTCTTACATAACTTCGTGGATTCAGGCTGGCATGGAATCTTTTATTCCCTCTCGACGATTCCAGGTCAAGCCTCACTCTTCTCCTTGGTTTTCCTCACATTGCGCTGCAGCAATTTCTAATCGAAACCGTTACTTCCATATCTATCAGCAAAACAATTCTCCAGAAAACAGACATCTGTTCACTATCGCCAGAAACCATTGTAAAAAGGTTTTGTCTGACGCCAAAGCTCGCTATTCTCAGGTCATTAAATCTCGTATCTCATCACAAAAATTAGGCTCTCGAGACTTCTGGAGAATCTTTAACAGTATCAATAATAAGGGCAAATCTGTTATTCCTTCTCTCTTGTATGGTTCAGACTTTGTCACCTCACCTAAAGACAAAGCTGAATTGTTTGCTAAGAACTTTTCATCAATATCATCTCTTGATTCCACTAGTTGCGTTTTACCTGACATAGCCGTCAAACAGGTTGATCCCTTGCTTGACATTCGCATCACTTCAGCTTCTGTATCTAAAGTAATTTCCTGCTTAGACTCTTCAACAGCTTGTGGTCCTGACAACATTCCTGTTGTAGTCTTGCAGAGGTGTTCTCCGGAGCTTTCATCCATACTTTCTAAACTTTCTAAAGGTTTTTGAATCTTTAGTCAACAAACACTTAATCTCTCATCTTGAATCAAATAACTTACTTTCTGATCATCAATATGGATTTCGGTCTTCTCGTTCTACAGCTGATGTGCTAACAGTAATAACCGATAGGTTTTACCGTGCATTAGATAGAGGTGGAGAGGTTAAGGCTATCGCACTTGACATTTCTAAAGCTTTTGATAAAGTTTGGCATGCTGGTCTTCTCCATAAGCTTTCTTCTTATGGTGTAGCTGGTAACGTCTTTAAGATTTTTGAGTCCTTTCTTTCCAATCGTAGTATAAAAGTTGTCCTCGATGGACAACACTCTTCTTCACATCCTGTAACTTCAGGGGTTCCTCAAGGTTCAATCCTTGGCCCTATACTCTTTTTAATTTACATTAACGATCTTCCAGATATTCTCACATCTAAGGTGGCATTATTCGCTGACGACACTACCATTTACTCTTGTCATGATAAGAAGCCTACACTCTCTGATTGCTTGGAGGGGGTATCTGAGCTTGAAAAGGATCTCACTTCTGCTACCGCATGGGGCTCACAGTGGCTGGTGAACTTTAATTCAGATAAAACTCAATTTTATTCGGCCAATCGTTATCGTAATAATTTAGATCTTCCTATATTTATGAATGGTAATGTACTAGATGAGTCATCTACCATTCATCTTCTTGGATTAACTCTTACTTTTGATCTTTCTTTTAAACCGTATATCAAATCCATTGCAAAATTAGCATCTGCTAAGGTTGCGTCTCTTTATCGAGCTCGACACTTTCTTACTCCAGATTCTATTCTCTATCTCTATAAATCTCAAATCCGTCCCTGTATGGAATACTGTTGCCACATCTGGGGCGGATCTTCTAATGATGCTCTTTCTCTTTTAGACAAGGTGCAAAAACGAATTGTAAACATAGTTGGACCTGCTCTGGCAGCCAATCTCCAACCTTTGTCACATCGTCGTAATGTTGCTTCTCTTTCTCTTTTCTACAAATACTATAATGGGCACTGCTCTAAAGAGCTAGCGTCCCTTGTGCCATCTACTAATATTCATTCACGTGTTACTCGCCATTCAATTAAGTCTCATCCTTTTTCTGTGACTGTTCCTAAGTGCTTCAAAAACTCTTATTTTTCTAGTTTTTTTCCTCGAACATCAGTTCTTTGGAATTCGCTTCCTTCATCTTGCTTTCCTGATTCATATAATTTGCAATCTTTTAAGTCATCAGTCAATCGTTATCTTGCTCTACAGATTTAGTCTTTTCTCTTCCAGTAACTTCCAACTCTTATAGTGGTTGCTTGCAGCCTTGTTGGAAGTGAAGATGTTAAAAAAAAAAAAAAAAAAAAAAATATATATATATATATATATATATATATATATATATATATATATATATATATATATATATACATACATATATATATGCAGTAGGCAAAAAAAAAAAAAAAAGCACAAGCAATTTTTTAAAAGTTTTTTCTTTTTAATTTATCGATTTATCCATGTTTTTTAAAAACTATTAAAAGTTTAAATATACATCAAAGAGTACTACAATAATAAAGATTTTTATATTTACTTGTGCATGATTTGTATAATTTGTGTACTTGTGAATGAGTTTTGTATAATTTGATGATTTTATCAAAGGAATATTGTTTTTAAAAACACTAAAAGCTCACAGGTGTTATATTGGAAGCAAAATAATTATTGGCACAAAAATTTTATTTAGTATTTTTTTGAATTTTTGTGGGGAAAAAATAAAATATTGGTAAGTTTGTCTAAAATTATATTTACAGTTATAACTTATAAGATATTTACATATGCAACACATAAAATATATATGTAACCCATGAGTTTTGTATAATTAATGGTATTGATTAATTTATAGAAAAAGCGCTTTGTTAAAAATAAATTGGACAGTTTCTAAAAAAAAAAAAATTGTTGTGGATTTGGTAAATAATGGTAAGACCTACAGAGAAGTTAATAAGCAGACTAGAATTATTTTTCAAACAGTTAAAAATTATAAAATTATAAAAAAGCATAATTTGAATGGGACTACAACTGATATAGCATAAAAAGGCCGTAAACGAAAAATATCTGCTGCGATTGATAGAAACATTATTATACAAGTCAAGCAAAACAGATTTGAAGCTCCTTAAAAGATTGCAGACAGTTAAAAACGACAATAAAATCATGATTTCAGCTCAAACTATCCAAAATAGAATCAGAGAGCAATAATTTCATGGTAGAGTATGTCACAAAAAACCCTTTTTGAAGTTGAAAAAACGTTTATTGCTTGAAGATTTTTATTTTTATAAATATATGTTTTCATTTATATTTTCATGCATATGTTAATAACATAATTTTTATCATTGAATAAATTTCTTATGTAAATTTTGACAAATTCATTGTTTTTTAAAAAGCATTAAATAAATTTATGACGTCAAATGGCAGTGAAAAAAATCCCAGATATAAACCGGTAGCTCAGTTAAAAACATGCTCATACAAAAAGCTGCCTAGGCATGTGGCTTGATTACTAATGTTGCAGGAAGAGACCATAAAAGAAAAACATCTCCTGCCATTAATCAAAACATTATTTTACAATTCAAGCCAAACAGCTTGACAAGGCATACAAATTAAGTTGCATGAGAAAAACGCGGTTGTGGAATTGGCAAGGAACTGGCAAATTGACTTCATTAAATCAACTATGAAAGCCAATTCAATAGACATTAAAAAGCAGAATGTGATGCCTTTTTCCTAGTAGATTTGGAAATAATTTTGTGTTTCAACAATACAATAACCTAAAACATACTGCCATAGCAATAAAGAAATGTTTTTAAAAGAATGATATAAATGTGATGGGATGGCTTGCCCAGTCTTCCGACAAAAATCCCATTGAGCATTTGTGGTACATTCTAGACCAAAATATTAAAGATTGAGCTTACAAAAAACAAAATGATCTAAAGGCAGCCATAGTGGAAGAATAGGAAGAATAACTCCAGAAGAAACCAAATCTCTGGTGGAAAAAAGTTATTTTTGCAAAGGTGGCCCAACTAAATACTGAAATGTAGTTTTTAACCAAAGTTCTGAATTTCTTATTGTGCCATAATTTTTTTTTTCGAGAAAATATTTGATGAATATAAGCACAGTTGTTTTTTTTTGTCATATGAACTTATATTTGACAATTTTTAAATACAATGCTTCAATATAATGCTATTTTCAAATAAGTAATAGTTTTTTCCTTTATTTATATACTACAATTTTGTAATCATTTTATACAAATTAAAAGTGCTTGTACCATTTTTTTTGTTTTTTTTTGTTTACTGTTATATTAAAACAGTTCAAAATTAAATCAATTTTATGTATATATCACAGAATGACTACACATGGTATCGACATGGTTATTTACCTCCAGTTTCACCACCTGTGACTTCTCATCCTTGTGTCCCATCATTGTTAGTTGACCAAGAAAACAAAGATGTTCTCAGCAGCATAATGATGATTACACATGCCATGATTACTGAGCTATTTGTGATTCGTGAAATACACCAAGAAGTGCGAAATCGGTGTCTATTTTATGGGTAGGGTTGTTTTTTTTTTTTCCCTACATAAATATGTATATTATTTTAAGTTAAAGTTTTAGTTACAGTTTAAAATTTTAATAATATTCAAGACATTCTAAAATTTTAAATTATCAATATATAATATTCTAAGGTTAATTGACACCTAAGCAAATATTTCTTATAGCTTTTTCAACAAAAAAAAAGGAACTTTTTTAACCTAATCTGAGATAACTTGATCGTTATTTTTTTATAAAACTCAATTAGCAGGCCAACCTTTTTGTCTGCTGTAAAAATATTGTTAAAAAACTTAATAATTAAATTTTAGAAAAAAGTAAAGCATCTGATTATTTTATAAAGGTTGGATTGATGAGGAAAAGGTTGGATTAATGAGGAAGAAGTTTTTTTCATTTGTGAACTTATTGAACTTAAAACTAGATTCTTAAAACGTCAAATAAAATTGTCTAAAGAATGACAAGTTAAAGGACTTTAAAACATATTAACTCTTTCGCACGGGTCTTTAACAACCCTGTAGCAATGAATCAATAATTAAAGGGTTTTTTTTACAAGAGTCATTAATCAAAACTATTTGATTTTATGCTTTTAAGGCTCAGATTCAAATTTAGCTATAATAAACTAACTTTTGAAGCTCCGTAATAGAAATGAGAGTTCCATAAATTCCTTTACACTTTAGGGATGGGCGGTGGAAGCAGGGAAAGAGTGGGGATGTTAATGGTTTATTGACAACTTATGCATAACTTATTACTAAAGTGTTACGATGTTGTGACTAGGAGAGGGGAGGTCCTTAACAAACGTAACAAAGGTCCTTAACAACTTAGGGGTCCTTAACAAACGTAGTTTGTTAAGGACCCCTAAGTTGACAGTTTTTTTTAGAGTATTTGATTTTGATTAAAAATTTTTTTTTTTAAATTCACGTGATTATAATGTCCGCTATCACTGATATCCTAATTTTTTTTTAAAGATTCATAATATCTATGAGTTTATCTTTTAAAAAATATTAGTTTTAGATGCAAATTTGATGCCTTTTTTGGTATAAAATTGTTTTTTGTGGTACTATATTTAGTTAAATTTTTGTGGTCCTGGCTAATTTGTTGATAAATTTTGATATCTTAAAGATTTTTAAGTGCTTATGCACTCTTTTTTTATCTATTTTTTTTTTACAGAATGAATACTTTACAGAATGCACAACGAGTAGTTTTAAGCCTTGATAACTAATATATTAACTTTTTTTAAGGTATGAAGCCAGACTTTTTTTTTTGTAAAAAAAAAAAAGTCTGTAAAATAAAAAAATTTGCAAAAGTCACGTGATCTTTGTATCCATCATCATTGGTATTTCATTTTTTTAAAAAAAGAGACACAATCTCTATTTATTTATCTTTTTGAAAATATATAGTTATAGGGTGTAAATATGATGCCTTTTATCCCGAATATATAGTTTTTTTATTTTTACTGTTTACAAATATTAAATATAGATGCAAAAGAGTTAAAAGTGTTGAAAATAAAGCAACTTAAGCATCATAATAACTGCAGACACAGAGAATAGGCAATGATTATAAGTCAGCCCTCGGAATCAGGAAAAATGAAGTTGACAATAAATCGCTGACTAAAATGTTAGAGGTCAGCATCAGTTTGGCAAAAAAAAATTTTTTTTGCCAAACTGATGCTGAAATGGGTTATCATAAAACATTGTTGATAACAGAAATGGGTTATCATAAAACATTGTTGGCAGTTTTTTGATGACCTCAAAGACTTTTAAGTTTCAGTTAGTTCAGCATTGTCAAATGCTGCCCCTAATTCTGAGAGCTGAAGTAATACTATAGAGATGTAGAAAATAATATTAATAAAAAACATCCTTGCTAAAGAAATTTTTACAGAAATTTATTATGGAATTATTACAAAATCAGTAAAAAACCATATTTATAGATGCGTTTTAACAATAAATTAGAAATCAAACAAACTCACCTAAAAATGTGAAAATAAATGCAGCTAAAATGTGAAAATAAATGCAGCAAATGGCTGCAGTTCTATCTCTCTTGGAACTTTGCCATTTTAATTTTTTATGCGACACAAAGATTGCAAAAAGTGACCAACTGAGCCGTCCAGTTACGTAGACCTGAGAGATGTGATAATAAAATCAGATTGTAGATGATGTAAAAAACATAAATTAATGTAAAGACTATTTAGTAGGAGGAATAAAATTTAAAGACTCAGGAAGAGAGGTAACCATAACTCACACTCTAGTCATTCTTAGCAAATGATAAGACAATGGTCTATGATAAACAACTCAATATAAATCCGCTGGTTTAATAATGGCAACCACGACTAAAATTATTACACCCTACAAAAACAAAATAAAATAAGTAGATAACAAAATAGTAAGTAAAATGATAATAAATAATAGTTTGGGCAATATAAAAAGAAAAAATAGGCTAATAAATGTAGTGCTATTTATGGTCTTAACTCTAGATAATAAATTGAAAACTGATAACATGTGTAACATAGAAATATATAAATGTCATTATTGTAACAAATGCATAATATAAAGTTCACAAAGTACTAAAATTCATGGGTGTAAGAGGTAAAAAACCAATTAGAATATTGTAACCAATTAGAATTAAGTAGTGGATGAATGGTGATCCCCCTCCTCAGGAATGCACTGCGATCATCAATGATGTTTTGAAGAGCCTGAGACCTGTACTAATGCCACTCATTGTGGTGTGTACTTGCAACAGATTTCACTGCCTGCACTCTATGTCATGCTAATCAATATTACAATATGATAGGACTACAAAAGCAGAAAAAATCCCAATCCCTATCCCAGTTTTTAATACAGAACCACATTCTTAGATATGTCAAGAGGGTGGCGAGGAATGCGCAGGGTGTGACCATAAATCAGTATGTAAATACATATATGTATATATAAATATCATGTACCACTTACACTAGAAGAGACAAATTTGTATACATGCACGTATGTGCATGTATTAAAATAAATAATTATAATCTATAGGAATAACACAAAGTATATAGAAAATAGTAATTAATAATTAAGAGTAACTTACCATTTCTTTTATGGCTGGAATACGTCTTATAAATATAATTATTATAATTATTAATTAATTAGTATCAATATAATAAGTAAATACTACTCATAAACATCAAAACTAAGTTAAGATTAATAATGATTAGTACGAAAGTAGTAAGTAGAAAATATGGTAGAAAATGTGGTAACTTCAATAGTATGAGAAATATAAATCTTGCGTGATAAGTAGAGACAATTGCTATCACACAAACAGACTCAGAGTAATTAAAAAATGATTAGCAAGAAATAAAAAAAAACATACAAACATTAAATCAGTAGACAGAGAATAGGGAGAAAATAGACAGATGAGACAATAAATGCGATTTTTAACTAATAGCTTATAACCACTGAAAAATGTAACATTAAAAAACAATATTGTTGGGTCATTCCATGCCAAGTGGTGCAAAGGTCCCTTATGGACCATCTCAGATTTTATTGAAATTTTTTGATTTTGTACATATATATGTGAAAAGCATGTTTTGAAAATTTTAGATCAATATATAATATGGTTCTTGAGAAAACGCTATTTAAGTAGTGGGCTATTATGCATAAAATTTCACTCTACAAGAAAAAAGTTTTTTTTTGTCATTTTTATCAGCCAACAACTTTTGAACAAATTAGTTTCATGCTTCAGTTATTATTATTTAGCAAGTGTGCTGTGGATACATTAGGAAACAAAAAAAATTTCAGTTCTGGCATCTTAACTTTTTCCATAATGGCGGTCAAAAGTTGAGATTTTTGTTTTTAAAATAATTTTTTGTGTGATTTTAATGATCTTTATCTTGAAAACTAGTTAAAAGATTAATGCATTTAAAAGTTATAGGTCTCCAAAATGAGTCAGATCGAGATTTTCGTAAAAGTGATCTAAAGCATCTGTTACCTAAGATGGCACTTTTTTTTTTCATATAAATTTTTATACGCATCAATTAAAGACTGTTAATTAATAAAAACCAAAAAAATTAATGGGCGCTTATTTATAACCCCAAAAGGTAGTCTCTAAAAGTCAGGTAAATTTTCCATAAAATTCTGAAATTGACATAATAAATAAATGCATTGAATTATATAATGTTATTTATTTGTTATATATACAAAATAAAAAAATTTCAATAAAATTTGAGATGGTCCATGAGGGACCTCATTAAAATTTGCACCACTTGGCACGGATTGACCCTGTTGACAAAATGACCAAAAATAGTAGTGAAGACTGTATAGTGCAAACCACAACAAACAAACTTAGCGACATCAAGAAAAGTAGATAGTAACAAAAATCCTAACAAGATTGTGATATGTCTAAACATATTTCATAAAATTGTTCAGTACATTCCAACCAAAGAATACATTTGTTATAAAAATAAGCTACATATATCTGTGTTTTTCTTGTCGTGTTTGCTGTTCAGCCTAATAATTGTAACCGAGGTCTAGTGTCAAGTGTGAGTGATTCCTAGCATTTTTTGTGTATGTTTTATCTGGTTATTCATATCAAGATTATCTCTTTGTTTTAAATACATAGTTTTGGGTTTTAAATACTTTTATAGATGATTATAATCTTGCCCTGTTTTTTTTTTTTGCCAACTTGCTTTGTGGACCTTCCTAATGAACATGTGCGTGATTGTCAGCATAGTCATTAGGTTATTGAGCAGCGTAAACACATCCAGCAGGATAGCCTAATGTCTATTTTATGATTGTGGTGTACATTGGAAGAAGTCAGGGCTCACTAGCCACAATGTAGTAAAATTGTTTACTTTCTTAGTTTTTTAATTTTTATTATTGCAATTTATTTTTAATTTTCAATTTTTTGTTTATAAATTTTTACTTATTTTATAAACTTAATTTGTGATATAAATGATAATGTGGTACAAACTGGTAGTCTTAATCTAAACCATGACACAAATTTAATTTTAAAATACAATCTCTTATT